TTACCTCATCTTTAGTAGCTGCTACCAATCCCAATACCTGATCTCTGGTTGCTGCTTTTAATCCCATTACCTGATCTCTGCTAGCTGCTATCAATCCCATTACCTCATCTTTAGTAGCTGCTACCAATCCATTTTCCCGATCTCTGGTAGCTGCTTCCAATCTCTCTAATCTCTAGTAGCTGCTATCAATCCCATTACCTGATCTCTGGTAGCTGCTTTCAATCCCATTACCTCATCTTTAGTAGCTGCTATCAATTTCATTACCTGATCTCTGGTTGCTGCTTTTAATACCATTACCTGATCTCTGGCAGCTGCTTTCAATTCCATTACCTGATCTCTAGTAGCTGCTACCAATCCCATTACTAGATCTTTGGTATTTGTTTTCAATCCCATTACCTGATCTCTAGTAGCTGCTATCAATCCTACTACATGATATGTGGTAGTTGCTATCAATCCCATTACCTGATCTGTGGTAGCTGCTTTCAATTCCATTACTTGATCTCTGGTAGCTGCTATCAATGCCATCACCTGATCTTTGGTATCTGGTTTCTTTAGAAGGCTCCCTACCTACACTCCATATTCGGATGGGCTACGTATTTCCAAGTCCACCGGTGTATGCAGCAATGCACGACTGGGCGTAGGAGTCAAGAGCGTCTTTAACCGCTGAGGTCTAAAGGAGAGACCAGCCAGCGCCCAAAATATATTTCATATTACCTACCACTCCTCAATACAACGCAATGACACTAGAAGCAGGTACGGACTTATGCAACCTTTGACGCCCCAAATTAGATTGGTCATGTGTGTGGGGTGGTTTGGGCACGGGCTTGGGCAACCAAGCGTTTCCGGCCATTAGATGAGACTTAACGTATACACCGTAAAGTGGTATATCAAGAAGACGGTATTGCCCGCAACCGCTCAAGGCGATCAGTTCAATGAAGGACGAAATCGTGATAGAACTGAACACACTCACCCTACCAGCAACATACATGGTATGAGCGAAGGAGGCGGCCAAAGGGAAATCGTCTAATATATACAACACACTCACCCTACCTGCAACATAAATGATATGGGCGACAGGGAACACGACTAATATATACAGCACACTCACCCTACAACAACATACATGGTATGAGCGAAGGAGGCGGCCAAAGGAAAATCGTTCAATATATGCAACACACTCACCCTACCAGCAACATAAGTGATATGAGCGACAGGGAACACGACTAATATATACAGCACACTCACCCTACAACAACATACATGGTATGAGCGAAGGAGGCGGCCAAAGGAAAATCGTTAAATATATGCAACACACTCACCCTACCAGCAACATAAATGGTATGGGCGACAGGGAACACGACTAATATATACAGTACACTCACCCTACCAGCAACATACATGGTATGAGCGAAGGAGGCGGCCAAAGGGAAATCGTCCAATATATGCAACACACTCACCCTACCAGCGACATAAATGGTATAAGCGAAGGAGACGGCCAAAGCCAGCATGTCTAATGTATGCAAGTGTCCCCTTGTGGGGTGTGTGTGGTAGTGACCGAAACTACTAAGCATTTCGAAGTTCAAGTATGATCTGAACTGATCAGCTTACTAGGCAAAGTTTATAGCATATTTATATTTAACCTATGCTTCAATACGCGTAAAACTCATCAGCTTACTAGGCAAAGTTCATAGCATACTTATATTTATCCTATGCTTAAATACGCGTAAAACTCATCAGCTTATCAGGCAAAGTTTACAGTATACTTATATTTATAGGCGTAAAACTCATCAGCTTACTATGCAAAGTCCACAGCATATTTATATTTTTCCGATGTTTAGCATAGCATATTTATATTTTACCGATGTTTAGTTAGGTTCAAAACTAACCAGCGTACTAGCCAAAGTTCATAGTATATTGATATTTATCCTATGCTAAAATACGAGTAAAACTCACCAGCTTCCTAGGCAAAGTCCATAGTATATTGATATTTATCCTATGCTTAAATACGCGTAAAACTCATCAGCTTCCTAGGCAAAGTCCATAGCATATTTATATTTATCCTATGCTTAATACGCGTAAAACTCATCAGTCTACTAGGCAGAGTTCATAGCATATCATATTTATTTGATGTCTGAGTATGTTTAGAACTCTTCAGCATGCTAGTGTAATTGAAATGCAACTAGGACCTTCTCATGCAAAGCTCGTGCTGAAATTCATGTTTTAATGCTGACTGAATACCCTGGTATATACTAGTAAGCCTATGTTTTATTAGTGTATATCATTTACTAGTAAACTAGCAATACATTAGTATATACTATTTACTAGTCAGCCTATGTTTTATTAGTGTATACCATTTACTAGTAAACTAGCAATACATCAATATATACTATTTACTAGAAAACCTGTTTCAGAACTTTCTCGGATTTCAAGGCTCGTCTCGCAGCAGAGTTGCTAAAGCGGTGCCTGGGGCTCATGCGTCTGAGTTGCGTCGGCTTAGACAGTCAAAGTATTACGTCAACTGTGTTGTGTACAGGTGCGAGCTATACTTACGCGAGACCGACCTGATAACGGATCCTCATGCAACTACTTCTATTATGATTTAGGAGGTTATATGCATCAACTTTTATTGAGTTCTAGGATGCTACAATATAGAATGTAATAATCAAGCAGCTCAGTTCTCTTCCAAATGCCTATTTCCTCATGCAGAAGTGTGCCTGTACTTTCACCTTGGCCTTGCTTATTCCAGTTGAGTCTTCTCCGCGAGTTGGATGTCGTCGACCAAAGTGCTGTACACATGTGCCATCGTCGCTTCAATGAGCTGGACACGATTATGAATCGTTATGTACCTAATATTTATTGTCCAGAACTATATACCGAATGCCGAATGTTTCTCACAGGAGCGTAGCTGCGCGTGTGCCATCGGCCTGCTTACTCGAGTTGTACCTGTTGAGCGAATTGAAGTCCTCGCTGAAGGTGTTGTGCACGTGTGTGCGTACCCGTTCAAACGTGTAGAAGAAAACACTGCACACACAAAACCACCAGGTACTACGAGCCCCTGCACCAATGAACAAGCCACGCAACCCGTCCTCCTTGAGAATACTGTTAAGCACAACCTGTGTTTGGGAATATAGAGCAGGTTGGGTTTAGGATCAATAGGATTCTAGGGTGTAGGGTTTAGGATGATGTGTGGAATAGAGTGAGTTCTCGAGATGCATGGGGACGCATATCTAAATGCTCGATATGAGTATAGCAAGCATTCTAAGTATCGACACACCTTCAAACAATGACTTCTTTATAATATCAGACCAAACACCAACCCCACACCTTCATTTACCAAACACATTTCACACACCTTCATTTACCAAACACCAATCACACACCTTCATTTTCCTGCCGTCTCCTGCTGTGGTCTCTGTCATGATGCGTGTTTTGATGACATCAAACGGTGTCGTGGAAAAGCCTGCCAAACCACCGGACACCCCACCCCACAGTACAGTCTCCAGGTCACTCCACTCCTGTGAGTATATGGATAAGCAAATGCAGAAGTAAGCCTTAGGGTATAGGTTATAGTATAAAAGTTTTCTGTATGTACATATACATATATATATATAAGGTATAGATGCATAAGAAAGCCTTAGGGTATAGAGGTATGAGCGAAAATCATGTGTGAACATATGGATAAGTAGTTGCATAGATATGCCACAAAGTATAGGATGTAGAGTGTCTATATAACAATATATAACAATATATATAATAATATATATAACAATATATGTATGTATGTATATATGAAATATAATATATATATATATGAAATATAATATATATATATATATATACATATACATGTATACACACACACACACCCACATATATATATATATACATATATATATGTATATTTATATATATACATATAAATATATATATATGTATATATGTGTATATACATATATATATATTATACATAATCAAAGTAAGTGCCGTTACCATGCGCAACAAACGCATATATGACGTTACGACTATATATATACTTGTACAAATACCTTAATCGGTGATAATAGCAAGATTTGAAGTAGTTGAAGCGCACGTTACTTGTTTTGAATTAGTAACGGTGGATACAAAACACACGCATATGTTTTCGTGTGCGGCGTGCATGTTCATTGTAGTAAGTCCAGTGCAGACACGTGGTACATAAAACTGTATATAGATACATCTGGGCATACGCAAGTAGCTATAGATATATTCGAAGCGATCGGTCCCTTTGGGACAGGTCGATACACCCAATGGTAACTGTAAACGATGTGCTTGCACAAAGACATACAGACACACTACAACCAACACGTATGACTCACACAGTCGGTTTGCCCTGAAGCAAACGAACTGAGCCACCTTAGGCCTGTCGCATACAACTACCGTACTATCAGTACCCACCCTAGGCCTACCGCATAAAACTATTGTACCATCAGTACCCACCCTAGGCCTACCGCATAAAACTATTGTACCATCAGTACCCACCCTAGGCCTACCGCATAAAACTTTTGTACCATCAGTACCCACCCCAGGCCTGCCGCATACAACTACCGTACTATCAGTACCCACCCACAACCATCTACACACCCTGTCTTCCTCTAAACCTTGCCGCGAGGATGTCGTTGTGAATCTCAGCTTCCACGTTTTGAATTGCTCGTACGAGGTAAACAATATAATCATAAACGGAATGTCACGGATCGCAGTTGACCAGTAACCTGCAACACAGAGAGGATAAATGTTTTAGTAGCCTGCAACAAGAGTGATTTACTGTTTAAATAGCCTGCAACAAGAGTGATTTACTGTTTAAATAGCCTGCAACAAGAGTGATTTACTGTTTAAATAAACTGCCACACAGAGAGGTTGAATTTTTCCACGTACTCGGGCTTTCTGCGGGAATAAGACATGAAGCGTGCCCAGGTACATAGGTCTGGCCACACGAAAGTATAAACACATATAAACCTATAAACAGATATAAACAGATATATATAGATGTAGATACATATATATATATATAGAAGTGTGTATGTATATGTATATATAAATATATAAATTTATACATGTATACATATATATTTGCATATACAAATGTATAATATATACATATATATAGGTGTATACATATCAACAAGTGCCTTCTCACACGACTCGCATACCTGCGAAGAACCCTCGCATGCCCTCCTCAGCAAAGATCGATCTTACCGCGTGCGCTGTACTCGTGTATAGACCCTGCAACATCCGCAGTCACCACGTGTTAACTCATCTCTCATGAGTACCAAGTACAATCACATAGCGTTGGTGCTAATTGCTTAACTGATTCACGTCTTATTGAGGGGTTCGTTCAGCTGTCTTTGGCATGTGTTGTGAATATATATCGCAAGTGCAATAGTGCAGCATTGTACGCATACAGACTCGACAAGGAGAGCTCATATACTTTCAAACACATGCGAAGGCGTATATGCACAAGTATACACACACGAACCACAAACAACCTATCACCTTTGACATACCACACTATTGCTGATAGTCCCCGCCTGGACAGCAAAAACACACATTCAATAAAACACAATAACACACTTCACAAGCTATCAAGCAGAGATTCAATCCCCGTTGAAACCCAGGATTCACTTTTATAACACGCTCACAACCCCAGCATAAGCGCAAGGACACACCTTTAATATACGCTCACAACCCTAGCATGCGTGCTGCATGCAGACGCAGAACAATGATTTCAATCACCACTAGCCCAACACTACCGCTGACAGCCCGAAGCATGCATCCACCACGGCGCAGCCTTACCATACAATAACTCATACAAATATCTAATTTAGAAGGCTATGTACAAATGCATTTCATATATTAAATCACACACCTACAACAACCCTTGCAAACACGCAGACAACAATCACATACACATACACATACGCGCACACCAGGCCGCCATACCGTTTGCAAACGTTGTACTATAATCTCCCGCGGCACTTTCACCACACTACTGCTGACGTCACCCGCAACCGCCGCGATGGCGTTCTGAAACATGGGCAGGTCAAAGTACGGGTGCAGCTTATTCTGCACTGTACCGTACACTGCTAGACGGAGCCCACCCTGTGGCGCTGATAGTTGTGTACGGGCGAATGAAGTGTGGTAAGAAGTAGGCCATATACAGCATATACAGCATACAAAGCAATATATATACAAAGCAACATATACAAAGCAATATATATCTATATATATATATATATACTGAAATCTCTACAGAAGTATCTATGTAAACACGCGTCACATACATACGAGTACCTGTAGAGATATTTGCAGCCGCTTACCTGCCCCCAGCACACTTGGCAGAAACCCTTTGCCCAGAGCCCTAGTGGCGCCACCGCTTTTGAAGGATGATTTTATTTGATTCCAGAATGAGCCAGTTCCATTTGCGCCTGAACATTGTTGGGTGGTGTGTAGATGAAAGGATGAGCGTATAAAACGTGAGAACAAAGTGTAGGCACACTATACACGAACTATGCAAAATCGGTGGGCTGTGTCGATAGACTAGTGCCCCACAGGTACGTACACAGGTACAATACCACAGGAGACATCTCAGCCGTATGTATACACAAATATGTGCACCGGGTTGTGTGCTGGCGAATCAGGAGCGGATGCAGAGAGACTAGCCTATGCCGAGGAACATGGTTACACCCACAGTGCGTGCATTCGTGAAGGAAGGTACAGACACCAGGCAGATAAGAAAACTCTAAACCCTAAATCCTAAAGGCATAGACGATACGTGAGATACGCCCGGATTCACCACGCAGAGAAGTATCCCCGTCGTACCTATCGCCGATGTCAGCTACACAAAGACTCTACACACACACACACTGCGAAACACTCGCATGGGAGCGTACTCTGTGGTAGTATCCATGAGCTGGTCAGATCGGTTAGAGGGTATCTGGTATAGCACCAGAGACACACATGCATAGCGCAGCTATGAGTTGTACGAGACATATATTGTATAGATGCACCGGTGACAGGCACATATCATATATTTGTACAGAGATTTATATCAAAGTCAGGTCATGTGTATACACGTGCCTTCCGGACATGCCTCTGGCAGCAGCAACGAAGTATGTTGCTTTGTATGTTGTGCATGAGACTATAACACGAAAAGAAGACTGTATGCGCACTGACTTTTATTCAAACCTCATTCGATTTGTCCACAAGAAGTGCGACAAGTTGTGTTCCAGCGGCTTGTGATAGGGACGCCGCGGATGCTGTAACAGAATTGTAGATGGTACGCTATACAAAGTCACATGCTGGTGTACATGAATACACACACGTACAGATGTTCTCGTCTTATAACATACACAAACACTCATACACGCGCATATACTAGGGCTGGGACTGTGTGCCAGGCAGATAGCCGCATCTTGATGGTGCTGAGGTGATGTGTGACAGCAAATAACAGTGGCAGGGGTGCGCTTCCCTCAATGACAGTCTGATGGAACGAATAGACGCGGCAACCACATGCATGTTATATACATACATACATGTATATATATAAGTCTTCGTACCGTATGACACACACACATGTATTCGCAAACTAACACACCATTGGCTGGTGTGCCCGTGTGCCTGGCCTGCATGCGTGTCTTGATGGTGTCGAGAGGGTGTGTGACGGCAAATGACAGTGGTAGTGCCACACTCCCCGCAATGAAGTTCTGGTGGAACGAGTAGAAACGTGCCGTGCTCTTGCTTTCACGTTTGTTGAGGTCTCGCTCATCTTCGTCGGATAGACGCTTCTCTAATCTGTTCAGGTCAGAGTTGTGTGGTAGGTAAAAAATCTATATAAGTCCACTATTACACCTAAATCCTAAACCTCGCTCATTTGCGTCGGATAGACGCTTCTCTAATCTGTTCGGGACAGAGTTGTGTGGCAGGTAAATTATCTATATAAGTCCATTATTACACCTAAATCCTAAACCCTAAGTCTCGTTCATCTGCATCGAATAGACGCTTCTCTAATCGGTGTGAAACAGAGTGGGGTAGTAGGTAAATTGTCTATAGATGTCCACTATTACCCCTAAATCCTAAACCTTAGGTCTCGTTCACCTTCGTCTGATAAGCGTTTTCTTGACCTGAGCAGCGAGGAGTGGATTAGTAGGTTAACTGATCTATATATGGGCATCCTAACTCCTAACCCCATAAAACACTAAACCGTTATTACACTTATCTGCCCAGGGGAGAGTGGGTTGGTAAATGTAGTAACTATTCAGGTGCATCACAACTACACTTCACTCGTATATGTGGCAGCCGCTATATCCAGTGTCTGTATAACACACAATTCGTCAATAGAGTGTGCGTGTGTTGAGTTTCGATATGCAAAAGATGACTACAAAAGAATATGTTAGTGCACAATACTGATACAGAGCACACGGAAGTGTCCCAAAGTACCGAAAAAGACGTGTATGGTTGAGTCGTTTCAGACAGACATCCAAGGGCGAACAGGACAATAGTAACGATGAGACCGACACAGCCCACTCGCAATATAACATCTCTTGATATGCTTAAATGCCATGTATACGTAACCCATTCTAAACCCACGGGTATACCTATGGCACACAACCAACACACATACAATACAATAGATTCGATGTACATGCAACGCAATGTTTGTCGACGCTCTGCTACAGAAGCACGACTGCGACTGAAAAGGTCTTTTTGGTGGCGTCCTATGTTGATATAGTCTACTCGAGTATATGGGACATACAAGCAACCCGTATGTATGTAATCCCCAATAATTCACAATATAGTTCATACAACCTACGACCATGTAAGTAATCAACAATAATTCACAGTATAGTTCATATAACCTACGACCATATAACCCATGACGTACCTGTGACATACATACTGTAAACAGAATACCCATACAATGTCTATGGTACACAAACAATGCAAATATAACTCAACAAAGAAAGCATTCAAAGTCAGATCCCTCCCATACCTATGGTATACATCCAAACCAAAAATAATCCCTTCAATACTCATAATAGACAAAGAATATACGAACAACCCACGCAATACCTGTCAACGCTCTGTTGGAGATGCACTACTGCGGATGTCAATGCTTGTATGGTAGCTGCCAATGTTTGGGTGTCCTTGGACTGATCATTAGAGAGATCTTGAGTCATCCTGGAAATACTCTGGATATGGATGTATCAATTTTTAAGTGTTTTGTAGTGTTCTATATAGGAATGTAAGGTAACAAATATACTCAAGACATCGGTGTGATCAAGTGTACAGATCCGATATAATTTATTATGTGATGTTTTGTTTAATGCTTCGCAATTAATATGACATTGATATGTGGGTCGTATGTGAGTCCAGGTGTCCCATCAACTGCTCGTTGATCAATATATCACACCACAAACGTGTATGGGGCGTGAAAACGTAGCGTATATATATATATATATATATATATGGCTGGCACTCCCTAATGTGATTGTTCTTTGCTGTTGACTGTAGTGTGGCTATATTGCCAGCAACTGTATATTGATGTACTAAATAAGGTATATACAGTTATCCATAGGCCACAGCTACAATATTATACAGAGTAAAAATTGACCTGTGTCACACTGTCACTTGTCGCCTGTCGGTGTCAGATTTCGAGTGCCTGATGTCAAGCACTGCGAGACCTAAACTCAAAACGTTGTACATACGTGAAACGGCTATACATATTTCAAAAATATTCGTATACGTCATGGACCCCCTGCCCTCTGGAGTCTGGCGTGTATCTGGATTCTGGTAGTCTCGCCCCGGGGGTTGTCACATTGGCTCCTAAACTCCTAAAGGCTGAGTCCTAAATATTTAGAAATATTGTCAGTGCGCAACCGATCGGTCCAAACTCCCTGGACAGACTTTGAACGAGGGGGTTTATGTTTACGTTCAACTTTTTTTGCTGCTGATATTGATTGGAATCAAATTTTCCAAGCCCGTCTTATTATAGTGTGATATTCTGTTAATTTTTATAAAGTTTACGCTCAACCTTCTCTACTAGTAGAGACAAGTCCCTTGGAACTTGGAAGGGAAGACAACTAGACAAGTCCCTTGGAATCTACACTTTGATTGTTTTAAAAAAAAACCCCCAAACGTATTTCAAAAAAGAATCTGTTCAATTTAGGTGTTTAGGAGGCTATGAAAAATCTGATGCCTGACTTGACTCTTAACAGTTTTAGGGTTTAGGGTTAGTTCCCAGCTTCCCATTTACGTATTTATGGTTTTTTTAGAAAAAGTAAATTAGGGTTCTCGACTCGCAGTCGCGCGTTTCTATCTCTAAAATAAGGATGTTAAAAAATACACGGTACATACTGTACAGTAAATACCAGTACGAGTCAAGGCCCAATCCCCCAAGGCCCCAACCGGGGCCCAAGCCCCCACACAAGAAGCATAGTGGCAAATTCACTATTAAAACTAAAAACTGAAATTATGTCTATTTATTCTCATTTTATAGAAAGGCCATACGCCATACGGATGAAACGGCCCAAACGACAAGTCCCAGATTCAGAAGGAAGACCGAAGGCCGTCACGAGTCGACTCACGACTCACGTGTCACGACGGTCGACGAGACTTTTCACCAAAACCCTTTTAAACCACGGACATCGCGATTCGGTGGTCGGAGTTTGGACTATTCATGAGACCCATAAAATGTTGTGGTTTTATACTTTTTATACTTTATAGGGCCTTATTAGGCTAAATACGTGTTGACTCGGACTCTAGGACTCGGAGTCGGTAAATTGGAATAAAAATTGCCACAGATGTTTCTATTGATGAGATCCAGGTAGTCGGCAAATTGAACTGCTTGGCATTCTAAATATATATCCATAGGTTGTATGGCGCTATGGCTCCATTATCCATACTCCAAACATATGTCATATAGTTTGTAAATATCGATATAGATCCATACCTTGCACATATTCGCATAACTACGCAAACTATCTCACAGAAGACACTAAGCAATCAACTTACTTCGTTCCAATACAATGGTCCAAGGAACTAAGCACGAGGTCACACTGACATACTGGGACGGCAGAGGCAAGGCTGAGATCATCCGCTACATGTTAGCTGCATGTGGTGTGCCTTACAAAGAGTGTGTGCCTGGATTGGAAGGTGTAGCGTATTTGTCAGAGCGGAAACACTTTACACACCTCTTAGAGAACGACTACTTGCCTATGGGTCAGGTAATAGAGTATCTCGGATTGCGAACATACTAAGGTACGCTCGCACGGGAGGGGGGAGGGGGATCGGTGTCCAGTTGCGTGTGTATTTGTATGTATACTATTATGTGTATTTGTGTGTTGGTGTGTGGATTGGTGTACTTCGACGTGTATTAGTGCATGCTATACCAGCCTTCATGGCAACGGCGTGGGTGTCGATGTATGCTGAATCTAACAGCAACTTTGTACGCCATATTCGTGCATGTATGAACAAATCAGTGTTAACAAAATAGGACTCCCCCTTGTTTAAATGTGCGTTTCCATGATCATTTATGCTACTGAACAGACTCTTTCATCTATATTAAAACGGGGGTTTCCTCATTTCTCAGTTTCAAAAGGTATTTATGTTCCCCACGTATATTCAATATATATATATATATATGTATATATATATATATATATGCGCTTTTATGTGCGCTTTTATGTGCTGTTATGCATTTCGTTTTCTAAACAGTGTGTACAGTTCTTATTTAAAAGAAATGAATAGCCTACACAAGAACACGAATGATCATACCTTACACACGCGTGAGAATTATATGCGGTATATCTACCGCTCATATGTCAATTAGATCTACATGTATTTGTCTTTGCATCCATTCAGGAACCATATATA